AGTGGGGGCGGGGAGGAAAAAAAAAAAAGCCACAAAACAAGTACCTGTATTTACACATGCAATTTAAAACCATTCCAAGACTTATATGCTGCATCTCAAAATTGCCTAAAAAGCTTTAAACCTCTCATGCTCTTAGTATTTCTATGGCAAATTTCACTCTGATATAGTGAATACATTCCTTGATTCTAGCTGACTCAAGTCACTGAATTAAGCCAGTTCTGAACGCCCATGAACTCCGACACAGAGTTATGTGGTAATCAGAGAACTAGATCAAATAAAGTGAAGAGAAAACATGGAATATATATATATATATATAAAATACACACATACTTACTTGATTCCCCCATTTAAGTTAAATACAAATCAAAAAGTGTATATGGCTACTACGGTGTTGCAATTTCACATTCACTGACTGGATAAAAGCAATTAAGTTTCAAACCAATTGACACCTCTTGCACCCCTTGGATTTTTTTTTTTTTTTTTTTTTATGCTGACAATGAAGGAATTGGGGGGGTGGGGGGAACGGATGGGACACGACAATGAGACAACAGTAGGATGTAAAAATACCTAAGTCTGTGTTAGGGATTTGCCACACGGCTTTAGATGTACCAAGCAATCCATCTAAGATGGGAATACCTGACTGGACTATCATTAAACTAACAGTGATCTAAGACTTTGCTAATTCAACCAACATCCCCAAGGTCTTCAGTATTTTTTTAAGGAACTTTTGTTATAACAACATCATCCAGTGATAGTTCTGGTACCACACCGTTTTTGTCGGGCAATGATAGTAAGAGGTTCTTGAATGTTAAAGCAGGTAACACATGTCATTCAACTATCAGGTTTGGTTCCTCCAAACAGTGTTCCCTGTCTGATCCAAGAGAGCCCAATCTGTAAAAATTTCCCATCCCCTGAATACAAATATTGTTTTTCAGAAGTATGAAATTACATACTGAGCCAGTCAATGAAGGTCACAGCAGTTATCAGAATAATTTAATAGTGGCTAATCTAATGATGTTCCCAGCTGATACGGCAGTTAGGGAACTGGGAGAAGACTGGCACCTCTGTATGTATTCATGCCCTCCATTAGTAAACCAGAACACTTAACACTTGCAGCTCTGCAGAGGTGACTATGCAATCAAGTCTCATGGTCTAGAAGCAACTCCCTGCCAGTCATCTAAGAAAACCTCTATTTCCACCCATGTCTTATGGAGCATCAGACATTGATGACTGGCTGGTGAAATATTCAGAGACTGTGGAGAGATGCCCCTTTTGCATACCTGGCGCATCACTTAATTCATTGATCCGAGTCAAACTGATTGCCAGATTTACAACTCCCCTCACCTCACACAGCAGGCAGACCTTCTAACATTCATTTCTAGCATGAAGCACAGATTACTAGCTGCTAAGATCTTCTGCTGATAGTCTACACATTTCTTTGACTCCAAAGATCTTAAAATGTATGTGATTTTTACTCTTTTTAGGTGTTTGTGTTGCACTGCACCTTTGAAATAAATATTGCAGTCTTTCAGGGAGTTGCCTAAAGTCACAGGCATCTGTAATTTAGATTCCGATAGCTCTTAAATGGACTCTTCTTATAAAGAGCAGATAGCAGATGAACTCAGCCTCTTCTGACCTTAAATTCCATGAAAGCTATCATACATCCATCATAAGGAGTAGCGGAAAGGCAACCAAACCATGCAATGAGAACATACACCTCAACTGGTAACAGTGAATAGCACTGAGTAACAAAGATCTGTACTCATAGCTCTAAGATGGTTGTCTTGGATCCTTCATAAGTTCAATTACAAAAATCAATGCAGAGAGAACAACACTGAACCTAGGCCAGTGCTGAAGGAGTCTACGCCACTCTCTCTCCCATTAAGATTGGCAGAATTTCTTCAGAGACTTTATGAACTGTACTGTACACTGCACACCTCAAAAACCTTTCTTTAGGTTCAGAGTGACCTTCCTGGCTTAACTTAATTTCTAAATGCCCTTTTTTTGTGAGTAGATCTATGGGAGGTTTCTTCTTCAGATGATCTTCTTTATGCTGGTCTCCAAGACTGCCATTCTACTATGGCTGAGGGCTAGATGAACTCCATTTGCCTACTCTCAGCATTCTCAATGATTCTTCATATTCTACAAAGACTTCTGTCATTTTCTTCAGGAGACAAAGTCTGAATCACACAACACATCATTACCTTTTTGAGGAAAAAGGTATGTATAAAGACCCACTTAATATCAAGAAACAGATGGAAATAGCTGTTGCATCCATCTTCCAGAAGAATTAGTTTAGTGGAGAACAGACCAAATTTGAAACCTGCATGTAGAGGAGCTCTACAGAGAAAGGCTGACAGTATTCAGTCCAATGGGCCAAGGCAGCATACAACAACATTGTATGAGATCAGGTGACTCCTGAAGAGCTTTAGCCAGATTAAGAATTAGTAATGCAAAAATAAACCAAGTTCCACCTTGGTTCCCCAGGCAGGAAACAGAGCACTCAAGGAGGGTCTCTGTCACCCTGTCTCTTACGCATGATCTCTGACAATGTAAACTAACAATTCAATTTCATGTGGATGAAGCATATAGAAAGATGACACTATGAAATACAGCCAAAGAAACAACTTTTTACATTTTACAGATTTAATCTTTGCCCCACTAAACTGAACAGGAATTTCTCTTGACTTCACTGGATGCAGGATCTTGCCCTATACACAAATGCATGCTTCAAGATGGCCTTCACAAGAATGTACTAAAGGCAAAAAGTTTAGAAAGGTTGCATTGGCATATCTGCATAAAGCACAATAATTACCATGTTGAAGTAAGACCGGATTTTGACCCCTCTTGCCAAATCCCAAACTATGACATTTCCATCATGTCCAGCAGAAAAGAGAACTCTTGGATCAAATGGATGAGGTTCAAGTACAAACACTTCATCTTCATGCCCCTGAAATTACAGATATAGCAAGATGAATGAGGATTGTCTCAAATACTTACCCAGGAATTCAATATGGTAACACTAGCAACTGCAACATTAATCTATGAAAGCATACAGCAAAGAACAACTACTTGGACCGCACATTTCTTTTATTCTAACAGTGTATAATACTCTTCTCTTTTCAGTTGCAATTTTATCTTCTTAAGAAGTATGTCAAGTATGTCACCTTCACAAGAAGTATGTCCCAATACTTTTGCCATGGTGGATTAGAGTCCACAAAATTCATTATTTTTTTTGGTCTCAATGCTCTGCAGATTTACATTTGTTTAAGCAGAGTAGCAGTTAGAAATTTAATTTAGACCCAAAAAGAATCAAGTATGTAACTAAAAGTTAGAGAACAACATCTCTAAAATTAATAATAAATTTTCAAGCTTTGAGTGAAATATTTTGATCTCTACCGAGGCATCTAGTTACCTAGAGTTACCTACTTTCTCAGTTAAAAAAAGTATCACTTTTTTTTATCAGACAAAAAATATTGTTTGATTTATTCTAGCTAGAAGACTATTTTTTTGTACTCATGGAATGATTAGGTTGCAGAAGTGTCTCTGTTTAAACAGGGAAAATTTATCCATTAATGGTATTACTAAACAATTGTCACATGAAATAAAGGTAAAAAGAAACAACCGTTTCCTTCTCCCCTTCAAGATAGTGCTTTAGGGAAAAGAAAGTCCAAAATTTGTTTCAGACATTTTGAACAGCAGCAGTTATTTGTGACTTTAAAGTGTAATAGAGATGTTTGTCAGCTGCTTATTAGGAAAAAAAAGCTTTAATTATCTGGAATCATTTGTTAAGGCAGTTTTCAGAGAGAAAAAAAATGCATAAGAAAGCATTGTTATACATAATACATAAATTCTGCATTCAAGATTAATAAATCAAGATGAAACACCTTACCATGAGAATATGAATGAGTTGGCCAGTAAAAGAATTCCAAACTTTCAGAGTCATGTTATTCACTGCAGTTATAACAGAGTTGTCATGGCGGTCCCATGCCACCATGGTCACTTTCAGCTTTGTGATTTTATCTTCGACTCCTTGTAAACTTTGTCTAAAACAAAAGAGAAAAAAGTTTCAAAGCAATCCTAGTTTGCCAAAACATTTTTATGTCCCTAACAAGTGAAAATACTTCCATATTTTGCTTTATTATTAAGAACAAAAGCATTACTTCTTAAAGAAACTGGAGAAATGAAAGATGTTTTCTATTATGTAGCACATAAAACCACAAAAGAATTTTAGATGCTTAAACAATGACTATAGGGTCCTCTAAATATCTTAAAGAATATGTTCATCTGTTTTTCCAGAAAATGCCCTCTGATACATCACCTAACCCAATTAAATTTGTTAGCTACAGTATTTGTTGTGACATTTGAAGAGCAAAAAATCAAAACTTGTCAATCAGTGAACAGTAATTTGTCCTGAAGAATATTCGTAGTAAGTAATTATAAATATGGAGAGAAGTATTCTGATACCTTTAAATGAGTTAAATTCTCAGGCTATATTTAATACTATACCACCGCCCTTACATCACTTTACTATCGGTAATAATAGTGCTTTGTTTTTATCCCTATGAAAACCAAACACTAGCCTTCTGTAACATAATCTATCAGAACACTCCAAAACTACATTTTTGTCAATGTGCTTTAGAGATGAATCACCACTGAATTCTCTAGCACATTAATTTCTGGGAAAACATCAAACACAACAATAGCATGTTACCACCAAGCAGGCAAACAAAATATAGACTCTTTCACGTAGTAAGCACTACAGTACATTACACATTATTGTACAACTATAACAGAAAATGTAGTTATAGCCAGATTCCTTTCTAGATTCAATGCAGAACCCAGGAGGCTTTAAGCACTGAATTCACTCTTTCCTTTCAGTGCAGCAATTTCATTTTCTTTGATGAAATTGTGCTTGTGCAGAAAAGATCAGATCTGGAACTGCCCTTATCCCTCTAGTCAAAAGGGCAAAACAGAATTCAGCATAAAGGTGCTTTACTGAAATGAGCAGTTCAGTGTCTCAAAGAAGTTGAGTATTTGTGACCACAGTATTTTTCCCAGGATCAGTTAAAACTAAGGATTTTTACAGGCTGCATTTTCAAGAGACAGTAATTCAGTCTGTTCTCAAAGTGGCAGTGTTTATACAGTCTTGTCCAGCAGTTTTATAGGCATGCTTTGTTGCCTCTGCTCATAACTGACAAGATACTCTCTGACCTAAACATCTATCTAAATTATAGCTTATTTAGCCTTCTCTTCCATCTCTCTCTTGGGTCTTTTAGACATCTTTCCACATGATTACTCCTGAAACCATTTCCATTTTTTTTTATTAAATGCCATCCTTCAAACCACTCAGTATGATCAGTAAGGGGAAAAATGTTTACCCCTTAAACCCATTATAAATCTTTTTAATGTATGTCAGTTGGAAAACATCTCCTCCATGCCAAAACAGAAAGGTGCAAGCCACAATTCCTGCTAAGTCATTCTCCATCTTCAAGCCTCTTTTGTTGCTTGTTCTAGTGTACAGCAGTTTCCCATACCTATAGAGCCTTCTAAATTCTCAGATGGTTTTAACAAATGAGAACCTGCTACAGAGCAAGTGATTTATTTGCTCTGGCATGTGGTACGAAAGAACCCAAGACTGCTTTTCTGGGCATGCAGACTCCACAATATCTTTAAGTATTACTAAAATGCAAGCAGTCTCAAGAACATATCTGACCTGGTTTTCTTGCTCCAGAAATAAATACCTATGTAAAAAGCCATATAAATTTGACGTATAATAGGTTTTGAGTATATTTTATTCTTTTAATCTAATCAAAATATTAGTGGAGCAATTATCAGGACAAGCTAGTTTCCACGCTGAGTAAGTAGGCAATTATTTGTTTTAATTGGACTTCAAGAGCTAGACAAGCATATCGTGCATTTAAGCAATAATTTAAGAGGGCCTTCCCCCTTCCACCCCGCATTTTTTCCTTTCTTTTTAAGTAAGTCAGCAAATGATCGGGTGTCTATCTGATAGCAGAACATTTTACACCACTTACCCTGCTGGGCGAGTAGCCATATCTAACAAAATGCTTTTCCATTCCCTTCGCTTAAACTGCCAGATTCGTGCTGTTCCATCACGACTTCCGCTCACAAATCTAACAAAAGGGGGGAAAAAGTTACTCAGAGATCAAAGGCAGATCTGTACAGAAAAGACACTTGAAAACTGAAGTTCCAGAACTGAGAACTCAAAAAAGGAAGCTCTAAGTAACAATACCAGTGTCAAAACACTGCACAACTGGTTGGAGGTGAAAAACACTTCCTGTACGAGTAAAAAAATTGAAGGCCTGCAAAAAGTAGAACCTGCTTCTGTATCCTGAGCCCCTTCCAAACTAATTGTACTTTGACCTTTGGTGCACCTTGCTGAGTTACGACATTGCTCTGGTGCAAGGATACCATATCCAATGAGCATTCTAAGAAACTAACCCTATCACACCAAGTAAAGCTAAGGAAGAAATTTAAGGGGTAAAAGTTAGCTGAAGAGCCAGGAGAGCCCTGCAAGCAGAAGTACAGACATGATTCAAAACAAACAAAACCTACCCCAAATAAGCTATCACTGTATGTTGAGTAAGTATTATGATATTTAGCTGAGTAAGTGCTTCCCCTCCTCGCCCTTTTTCCTCCCCCTTTCCAGGGTTCAGGGTTAGAAGGAGGACAAAGAGGTGGGTGGAGCACAATGAAACTTGGTTTACAACTATATGTATCATAATAAAAGTATACATTAGAACATCAAGTAAATGAAGTGTCATAAACTTCATAATCAGCTGAACCATTTTCTTTAGCATCCTTCACATACGACATCCAGAACTTAAAATAAAACATTAAAAAACATTAGGCTAGCTAAACAAGATATTGTTAGATCTGGTTTCATAGTTCTCCTGTATCCAGCAGTCACTTAATTGAAAAAAGGTTTAAATATTTAAATGTATCTAAAAATGCATGTATTTTATATGTGAATATATATACACAGACATTTCTTAAGAAGAAATTTCAAGTGTTTTGGCAAATTCAAAATACTTTAAACATTCATTGCAATGAAAACAACTGTAAAACTGAAGGAGGATTATTAAAACAAAACAGCGAGAATCCAATAGTTATAGAAGATTTAACTGGATTAACCTTAAAACAGAAAGCTTTTTTTTTTTAATAGCTACTTCCATAAACTTATATTTACAAATGTCCACAAGGTCAAAAAAATAGCTCTGAACAAACAGCGTGCTTACCTGCTACTACTATTAGAAAACTGAATGCTGTCAACTTTGTCCTATATTGAAAAAAAGGAGTAGAAAAAGAAGAAAATATGAAGTATTATTCCAAATTAATCCAAATTACTCTTTTAATCAAATACGTATGTGATTTTTAAAAAGTATTTACAGTATGAAACTCCAACTCTGATATCTTCTCTGGCTGACCTGATCCAAAGAAATAAACCCTAATGATGTGATCTGTACTCCCAGTGGCCAAAAACATTCCACCTGAGAAAAACAAACAGAGAAGTCTTTAGAAAAGAGGGCAATCTAATATTATTACAGTTTTTCAAATGGCTGTAACATCAAAGACTTAAATTTATTCCGTTAAATTTATAGCTGTAGTTCATTTCAACTATGCCTGTAACTGACCTTTAAGTAAAAACAAGATTTAGAAGTTCAGAAGTTTAACTGGAATTGAATTACCTTACATTTGCTCTCAGAGAAATAGGCACCCACATACAGATCTAAAAGATTAGCTAACTACAATAATTTGTATGCAACTAAGCTGTCAGAAGCCTCAGTCTTAACAAAAATTGAATGGAACTAGAGCTCCAGTACATTTTCTGAAAATAAGTTTCTGTCATTTTTGTATTTTACCCAATTATTTATGTTGCATTCTTCAATTGCCAACTCTGGAGTCAATGACATACAGACCATGAGAACCTGGTAATCAACATCTTATCCCAATCCTTACAAATTCAATCTCAGATAAAGCCAACTCACAGAATGACTCTGAGAAAAAGGTATACATTGCGTTTTAAATTAAAAGACTTGCAGTCACAAGAGACTTTCTTTCAACATTTTATATGTAAGTGTTTTCAAGAATTTCTGTATCACCAAGAGTTAATGTGTAGATTCTGAATTTCTAATATTTGCGGTTTTTACTCCTCCATGAATCGAGCTAATTTAGTTCAATTCCACCTTATTAACAAGAAATATGCTACAGTAACGTAGCATATATTATTGAAGTAAATGAAGTATTATACTTCATTTTACTCTCCAAATGACTTCTTATATTGATAAGAGAGAGAAAAAGAAAAAAAAAAAAGGTCTTTTACCAGCACTAAAAGAAGAACAGATCATTTGGACTCCGGGCCGAGGGCGTTCTGTAAACTTTGTTGGCCTTGGACTACAAATAAAGACACAGTTAAATAATTTCCTAATAAGGCTTCAAAAATAAGTCAGTATCTTAGAAATAAAGCACAGAAGGACAAAATTAAATATGAAGGAACAGATGGCTGCCATCTATAAACAATTTCATGTGACTATGCTTCATGATCTGATCTTTAGGAAACTAAGACATCCAGATGGATTAAGTAATCCACATATCAAGGAGAGCTGTATCACAACTTAAATCCCGCTCCCCTCTCCCCTCTAATACTGCTCTACAAAGCACTCTCCCTTAAGGCACCAGCAAAGCAGAACAGAAGACACTAGAGCCAGCTGCCCATGATACTTGGTTTTAAACCACTGGGTGTACCGCAACTCTGGTTTTCTCCTGCAGCACACAGCTGCTTTTACAAGAGAGAAACAGAGCTTGGCGCTCTTTATAGAAAAGGATAAAAAAAAAATGTTTAAATAAATTCTGAATTTTTCACACTATTGTAATACACCAGTTTCTTCAGAGGACATATATTCTTTGTGGGCTAGTTTAGAATAGTGCCCAAAGAATGACAAGACAATGGCTAGAAGTTTGTAAGGAATTTTACTTTATGGCCTGTGCCTCCTTTTAGGCATTATTAGAATCTGATGTGCAAGCATAACTAAAGTTTTAATGGATTTGGCACCTTAAGAGTGTATAAAACACAAACAAATCAGATTTGGTTCTTCAATTATTACTTCAATTCTGCTCACGCACTGCAGCAATCTCAGATCAGTAGGTGGTCTTGCACAGTATGCCATCTGCAATCTTCACTCAAAAGAATAAACTTACTAGAGAACAGCAGCATTACACCCACAAGTGTCATCACTAAAGATTTGTCTTAACATAAAAGAACACATATTCATAACTTATCCAAAATTTTCTCTTTTAAAAGCAAAATGGTCCATATAATTCATTTCAGATGAAAGCAGATGCATAAGAGTACCTTTCTCCACTAAACAGCTATTGCTACCTCAAAGAAAGTAATAAGCATTAAACTTTAGTGGGTGCCTATGCATAAAACAAAGTAATAAACACCAGGAATACCAGTTAAGAAATCTTTCTCCAAATTGTCCATTCAATATAGGCTGTTTCTGTGAGCCTTCCTCTAGGAATTTTAAGGTAACTCCCTGCAGACTCGTGACAAGGAAACTTCACAACAAGGTACACTAAAAAAGACCAAGATCCATTCTACAAAACAGCTGAAACCTTTCTTAACTGAGATACTAACATAAAAAGAACTATCAGATGATTCAATATGCAGCTTACATAATTTGGAGCAAGTGTAAATAGATAAATAGGCTGCTGTTTTCTTCCACTGTGGTTTGTGAACTCTGCCTTTGGAGTTAGGACAGCTGCAAAACAGAGCAAGTATATGCACTTATGTTCTAGTTTGGATAACCAAGTTAAACTCTCCAACTTACATCTCTCTAATGTCTGTTATTTTAGGCATTAGGAGACAAAAGGTTATGGCATTCTTTCACATTAGAGCAGACTGTGGTCTTTGAAAAATGAGCTGGGCATTCTGTAATTTTGTGAAGCAAGGAAAGGGGACAAAAGCATAATTTCTTGCAACATATAGAAACCAAGGTAATGGTTTCACTTTACAAACATTTTCAATCCCATTATTAAGTGGCTGGAGGGCAATAAATTACTTCACAAACATTTCATAGAGAGGTCCAGAAAAGCCCTAGTAAACCATTTTACTGATGGGAGGAGGCCTGTATTAAGTTCAGCACAGATGCAGAAATGAGAGGGGCTGCAGTCAAAAAATAACCTGCAGTCAAAGCAGCAGACAAAGAAGGAATTTGGTCTATGGGCCTTAACTAAGGGACACACTCACTCATATAAATACCTCACAAGTTCATATTCTTCAAAATGTAGCAATAGTGCAGGAATGGTTACCTAATCCAAGCCCTGCATTAACCTCACTCTGGACATGTAGTGGCCCAAGAAAGACTTCTTCCCAGGGAACACGTGTGATACAACCTCTCCAAATTAAGTCTTTGTTCACAAGCTAATAAACAAGGTTCAGCATATCTGAATTCTGAGGTATATGACCAGTCCCTTTAACATCAAGTGCCTTCTGCTTATGAAGGCAGATGGGAAGTATCACACCACACTGAAGACAATTGAGAAATCAACATCTTGTCCAAAACAGGAACATAAAAATCACGACCATGTGTTTTTCCTAAGTTTTTTTCCTCTTTCAAAAATTACGGGGAAAAAATAGAAAAGAAAGCAAACAGCATAGTAAGCTCCTCTACCCAAATCTGTGAGACAGTTCTGCTGCCTTGTTCATATGGTCTGCCAGTAACAGACTAACACTGGAAACTTGTTATCTAAACAGGTGACACAAGAATACCAAGAAAACTCAGCACCTTCCTCAGAGAACATACATATGCAAATATTTTGCAGAGCAACTAATTTAACTTTGATGAACTGACCAGTTATCATAATTCTCCCTTAAACTTGAGGCAGATTACTCCTCAATTTCTGATCACCCAAGGCTCATTTTCTGTCTTCTCCCAACTCTTACATTTTCTATCACCATCCAGAATAGTAACAGGAGACTAAGTATGGGGCAAGTCTCAATTGCCTACATTTTTAACTGTTCTCCCATCTTGTCTGGGCCACATTCCTTCACTTCCTTACCTGCAGCAACCACCAACCTTACCGTTCCTCTATTTGGAAACCAAATTAATCTACCTGGAATGTTACTGCTTTTAGGCATACATGGTAACTGCCTGGTCAGAAATCACTGAAACCAGAGGAGCACACAGCAGGCTCTATAATACTGAAAAACATGCATCCACACTAGTCACAGAAGCACATGAACAAGGCTGATCACTCTCCTTTGAACATGATAGTTTTGTGGTCAGCCATGCCAATGCCTGTGTTTCATCCTAGGGCACCATATCTACTGTAATGTGTCATTTTGCAGTTTATCAAAACAGAGCTCTGTCACCAAGCATCTCCTGTCTGGGCCATATGTGTGACCTAGATACTGAAGATGCCTCAATTAATGAGGTTATAAAAAAAAATGGGAGACCAACATGGGAAGCCTCTGATTTCAGAGATACTACTAATACTGCATCTGAGCTGCCAGCAAAGCTGAATACAAGGATTTTTGTGATCTGAGAACAAAACAAATAAGTATTTGCAGAGATAAAAAAAAAAAACCACAGAAAACATAACTGGTATAGGGCACTAGACACTAGAAGGCTTAAAGAATATCAAAGTCCCTTTTAACAGCAAATACTACAGTTTTCAAGGTAGTGAGTTTCCCAATTTTTCATGATCTGTTGAGATAAACAATTGCTTCATAATATTTTGATCTTATTTTATAAGCAGGGAATAAAGAACAATTTTGAGTTTCCTCATCTCCTGAAGAAGCTTGAAAGGGAAAAGATTATCTTCAGGGGAAATTCTTCCCAGGAGGGACAAGTCCAATTTTTAAAGACAGGGAATTAATCCAGTAGACTTAACCATCCAAGCTGAGTTCCACTGAAACCGTTTTCAGCTTAGTTAAGAACAAAACTGATTATTTTTAATTTGAGACCACACTGAACACAGCAGCATATCCAAACACTGCCTTTCTCATATTTCTTTAAAAAGTTCAGCAAATTATTGCTGGCACTGCCAACCATCTTGAAACTACAACCAACCACATGAGCCCCAGAGCTCATAATCTTAACTCACTGCCAGATGATGCAAATAGCGCTGAGTATAAAAAGCAAGGGGTGAACATATATTTATTTTTTCTTCTTTTTTTTTTCTTTTTTTTTTTTTTTCCTTTTAAGCAGATGAAATTCCAAGACTTCACCACAAGTCCCAATTTAAGGTATTGGACAATTTAATATTACAGTTTCCTCACTGATAGCAATTGTATTCTTGGAGGACAGGCTGCAGTCAAGCTCAGGAGGAACATGAAATCAAGTTTGGACATGTGACAACACCCTTCACCTGTACTACTCAAATACTTTTGTCTTGCTTGAAAGCTCAAGTGGGCGTGCTACTGGAACAGAGACACAGGGCAGCAAGCTCAGAGCCTGAATAATTGTAGTAAGAGGTCTTATTTTCTCTGCCAGCTTTCCTCCTTTTTAGAGATAGTGAGCAGAAGCAAGCCTGTGTTCTTTACTATAGTGATAGGAAGGACACATTTCCTATCCCACCAGTTCTTCTCTCTTCCAAATGGCCTAAACATCATGTTTTAAAAAAATAACCTCACAAAAGGCTTTTTGAAAAAAATTAACATGAATCTTTCTTTCCTTTGATGCTCTCATATTGCTGGCACTCGTTTTCCCCCAGCACATTACTGAATGGATGGGGAGGGAACCTGCTATGTTTTTGCAGTTCTGGAAGCAGATCCAGATCTAGAGGAGTAAAGAAGTGCAATCACCTCATCAAAAACTGGATGACAACACACACCCACTACTGAGACACACTGTCCACACAATGCAGCCTTCTTGAGGAAAATTACAGGACTCTTAAGTTTCCCCATATCATTTACTCTGATTTACTGGAATAAGTATGACAACCATGGTTAGAAAAGTTTACAGTTTAGCACATTAAGTAAAACCTCCTATAACTAACAAATTCCCCTGAACTAGTATACTGTTCAATTCAGGAAGAGCTACATTAAGACTTTTCTGGGTATCCAACTATTTCAATATTGTAAGTGACATATTCCAGTCCCAAAAGACTGATATATTTGTTTCTTATTTAGACTTTACCATATTTTTATATCAAGTTTTACCTTGGATCAAAAAGCATCAATTACTTTAAATACTTAACAGCTCTACCAAGTTCAAAGAAAGATCTACGACCAGGATCCTGCCTCCAAAGTAGACAAAACTGGATGTGTAAGAGCACAAAAAGCACACAGTGTTGCTTTTTACTGTCTTCATATAATGCATAATACCCTGTGGCAAGGCGTTTCATAACTTAACTGCATGTTTTTGCAAGGAACCATCTCCTTCCAATTTGGAATTGGCTACCCTCATGTGATACCCTCTAGTATGATAAGGGCCAACAAGCAATTACTCATTACAAACACTCAAGACACTCATGACTCTACATGTCTCATCTTCATACATTCATCTTTTTCCAGACTGCAGAAACACAACTTAAAAGGTTCCTCTGTCTTCTCAAACACAGCATATAAAATACTTCCAGAACAGAAGGTAAGGATGGTACAAATTCCAGTCTCAAAATGTACTCTGCACTGTGTCATTAAGCAACATGAATCACTAGCATGACTTGGGTTACCCGACCACTTCCTTTCTGTGCTGCACAAGACAGATGAACTAATCTGTCTCCTCTATGCTGCTGTCTGATCATATCTGCTGCAACGAATTATATATGAAAGTGCTACTCAAAAATCTTTTACTCCTTTAATATTTGCTGAGTGCATCTCACTGAAAATTTTTATTCTACATTTAGGTACCACCATGGAAAGGAGTTAGTTAAGAATCCCCTACCATAACTAATGACAGCGTTCTCACTCCCGAAGTTTTACTTTAAGACAAATGGAAGACAAATCCCATCCGACTCCATGATTCATCCAAACATTCACGATTTCTAAACATTCATCTCCCCACTCATATAGTTTAACCCACTTAAGTCTCACAGATTCCTCTATTCTCTAATGACAGAATTTGTTTCAAAATTCAATTCCATAGACTCAAACTTTCTTAAGAAAAGAACAAAAAAGAAAGACAGGAAAAAGTAGAAGAGAGAGAGAAGTGTGTGGGCTCAAAAAGTTTACAAATCAGGCAGATTAAGATTTCATCTTGTTGACAAGAGCTTAGACTTAAAACACCTTAAGAAAAATAACGTGGTGGCAACTCCTCTTCTTCACACATTAAAAATAAGCATGTAAGCCGTCTCCTCCTCTCCTCAGTAAGAAGGAGTGTCTTACGTTGATTACAGCATGCACTAAGCAGCAGAGGATTAACAGCCTGAGAAGCAGCTTCATCTACATTATCAAAAAGAGCCAAAACGCCCAGACAACATCAAAATAGTTAAGGTCCAAACAACTAGAGAAGTACCTAGGCAAACGTATCTACAAGCCCTGCATAACTCTGGCACACTGCAAGAAAGAGATTCTAACAGCAATTACCAAAACTAAAATGCAACCTACCTGCCAGGAGAATATGTCCTTAAGAATACATCCCATCCCCAAACCTAAATTACTAACAGTTACTAAAACAACTATTTCCAATTTTAAGCTACAGGTGTTTTGTGATAAAGGAAAAGAAGGAGCAAAATCATTTGAAAGCCATTGAACAATTTTAAAAAGCTATCTCTATTTGAGTGTCCTGACAACATTTTTAATACCTTATACTTTGAAGGCAGAAAATTCAGGCTCAACTTCAGCCACCAATACACAGCTGCCCAAGAATTCTGCCTCCTGCCATGCTACGGTAAAGAGCAACTATGAAAAGGTAATACAATTCAGGAAAGAACAAACATCAAAAATACCCCATCCTAACTTATACTAGGACATTACCATCTCCTAAAAACCCCTGCATCTTCAAGTCTAAATTGCAATCATTTTATCAACATAATTTCCATTTCATTTGGGATTAAGAGACTAGAACACAACCAAAAAGCACCAAATTTGACATCATATTAGAAAAAAAAAGTTAAGAACTTTTTACCAAATTAACAGATAAGCAAAACTGGGTATATGGTTACTTGCTTCACTCCACAAAATGTTGTAATATCAATTTAGTCCTTAAAAGACAAGCAAGCAAGGTATAGCTATATCAGAAATTGATCATACTCAACAATCACACAGTGAACCAGCCAGTGACAAGTTTTATCCTAGTCAATTTTTCTCCAACATTTGTACATCATTCTTAAATTAAAAAAAAAAAGGCAACAAATAAAATAGCAACTAACTTTATTTTAAGGGTGCCAGCATCCCACAGCCAAAAGCATATTGTTCCATCTGCCCCGGTTGAAGATAAGTATCTCTTTGAGCCACTGCACAGTGGAGAGAACTGGGGGGGGAGGGGGAGGGGGAAAGGAGGGGAAGAGAAAAAGAAAAGGTGTCCTGTTAATCTGTTCCAGATGTGCCAAGTTGTTCCTCAAGTCACTGACTCCTCACCAAATAAATAAACAAATATTAAACCATGCCTAAGGAAAATAAATTGCAATGAACACCAAAATAACACAATGCTGCTCAGAATCAGTCTTGCCCTTCAGAACAACCCTGCTGGGTTACTTGCCAAAGCACTCTGGGCTCTCCCTCCCCACAACCCAAGTTGTGCAACAGCATGCAACTCTAGACAGAAACAAACGAAAGCATTCAGCAGTGACTGGCAGTCCTTACTGAATGTACCTACACTCAGAATCACAGCCTGCAAAGGAATGATACTTCAACACAGAACTGCCCACATGTGTTATGCAATTTTTTTGAACAAGGATTGTGCCTGGTATTTTTCAAGGGTCGGGCATTTTGACAATAAACATGTTATTTCACAACATGTACCATGAAAATTCCTTCCCACTTCACGGCTTAGTTGCTAGGCATGCATTTTTACTACAGAGAACATTCTCGGGTGGTTCCTTTTTCAGTCAAATGATGCATTTTATTGTTCAGGTGAGTTCACAAAGCAAAAACCTACCTGCAATGATGTAATAGATGCACTGTGGCCCTGCAGAACTGCCAAGGGTGCACAAGTTCGAAGGCACCAAACTCTGATCATTTTATCACAGCTTCCAGCAGCTATCATGGTGTTTTCATAGTTCACTGCCATATCAGATATTTCAGCTGCATGCCCTCTCAGGGTGGCCAACAACCTTCCATCATCTGTTGCCCAGATTTTTACAAGGCAATCATCTGATCCCTAGAAGTAAGGTAGAAAACATTTCAACCATATCATTAGCTGTTTTGATGTTACAGCTAACACAATCAACTGAAAAACAGAACTAGTGGCATACATAGATAAATATTCCCTCCCCATGCTTTTAACAGTTTTCCACACTGCATTCAAAACACAACATAAGATCACACTAATTCCCAACAGTATATACAAAGCACGAGGCATTTATAATACAGATCACAAATCCTACAGCAAGTTGGATGTATACTCAAGTCACTTTTTCCAAAACTTCAACACAAACTGAAGAAGCTGTTGCAATACATTAAAACTAAAATTTACATTAAAAGTGAAAATGAATTATGAATTGGTACCATGCTTGTCATTTAGCATTATAATCACTTATGTTCCGTACCTTCCTAGTTTGATCTTCATGCCCTACCAGCGTTAGTAGTATACTTACCACAGTAACAGTGAGGTAAAGAGCCTGTATGAACAGCTATTCCATTATTAAGTCAAAGTACTATAAATCTGCTTTGATATTCACATTACCAAACACAGAAATGACCACTCCTCATCAAACTTCAGAGGCTTCATCTACCTATTCATACTTAACTCGCATTTGGCTGGTCTTCCCACAACACTGTAAAAGCTGCTTGCTTGTATGCAACAAATTCACAGCCCTTGCAAAAATTTCAGAACTAAGGCCTTCGTTTTTCATTGCATTACTGCACCTCCCAGAAAGCCTGAATACCTTTGCACCTCACTGAACACAATGATATTTGAACACTGCATGGAGACACCGACAGATTTCCTGTAAACATTTCATTGATTTGCTTAGGTTCAGAAGCAATACAAAGCTGGGTGCTGGGTTTTAGCATCTGGAGCACTCATCTGCTACTGGACACACAGGTGCCGTAGCAAGTTACAGTGGGCACCATCATTAAAAAATTTCACCTGGGTTTTTCCTCTTTCATAGACTTACAGTGTCTCTGCATGTTTATCTAGTATTTATGCTTTAGAGAAGTCAGAAGGCAGGGCAATACTATTGACTACCTTTTATAAAGAAAGGTATCCAAAGTACAGGGACCAACAGCCAGATTTTTAAGACTGGTAAGCATTAAGTGAACGTAAACGTCTAATGACCAAAAGTCTCAAAAAAATATTTAGAGGCTACTGATACAATTTCAACACAACAGCTTTTGTAAACAGGACTTGATGATTTTAGAGGTCCTTTCCAACCTTAATAATTCTATGATTCTATTTAGTACACTCTTTAGTCTATATTCACATAACTATAGAAATCCCACACCGCCACGGCTCCATTTAGCTACTGTTCTGGGCAGCCAAATCCCAGGACACCAAGATCCAGCCTGGGACGTTCTCATCGACGTAGCCACCACGTGTGAAGTAGAGCTGTCCTGCCAGAGAGCCAGGCAAACACCCCAAGAAACACTTTCAGAAGGAACCCAAATACATCCTGCAGTTATTGGAATGCATAAAAGGATCTGGAAAGCTTTTTTTTTTTTTTTTTTTTTTGGTAAATAATGACTAGCCTCTTTACATTAAGTTAATCCTGATGAACAATTTATTTACCTTAATTTCCTCAATTTTTTAAATGTTGTTACTATAAAAAAAAGATAATTCAGTTCTCTACTTGAAAAGGTAGCTAAATTTTACTCATTACAATAGTTCAGATTCAAAACAAGTATCCGGGAGAAGGAAGGGAACAGCATACCTGCAGTTACCTAACAATTATACGCCCATTCTCATCTGTAGCAATACCCTGCAAACCAGGCAACTTCACCAGGCTTACTTTTTGTTTAGTGAACAAGAAGTTGTTGCTGGCTCACAGGCAGTTATCCACAGCAGCTTCTCTCTTCCTGTATTACATGTATCAGTTCGGACAAGACATACAACTCTTAGCACAAGATACAACTATAGCTCCAGTTTTTGAAACAGTAAAAAGAAAGCTGATTATATTTAGATACTTTGAGAGCACATTTTTCTACAGATCACAAATACAGGTTGCTGCTCTACAGAAGGTCTTTATCTCCAGCATACGCAAATGGCTACTTTGGAGCATTAGTGACATTTTAACCCAGCAGAATGTTTTGCAGGGGGGACTCCAGACCTGCATAATCAAGAGAATTTAAAACTTTACTGTGTATTTGATTTCTGGAGTGCCTTGGTAGGTAATTTGGATTTACCAGATGCCATGCTTCTACTTTTCCTCAGGTGGGCATGGCTTTAAGGGCATTACTTTTCTTTCTTCCCAAGTCTTCAACGGGTGCACCCATGAATGCAGAGATCTGAGCAAGACAACTTCTCCCATACCTCTGCCCTACTCATTTTTGGCATAAACTTCTGAGCCTCCAATAAAGGCTGTCAAACAAATTCTGTGTCACTGCATACTCATTTTAAATAAGTACTTCTATTAAGAGAAGGTCCCTCTTCCCTCAAACAGAAAAGTCTGATTTGAGATTTCAGAGTTCTCTTTGGTCCTCCGAGGACACTGAAGCTGGGCGATCAGCATTACAGAAGAGCTCCACTCTGAGCATTTAACCTCAACACTCAACCAAGGACTGCTCCCTTGCGCAGTCTTTGTTAGTTACAGGAGAGAAAAAAGGGGGTGTGTGCGTGTGTGTGTAAAACTGATGCTAAGAAGTAATAGCCTCACTGCTCAAGAGAGAGACCTGAAAGTAGAGGAAGGGAATAGGGAACCCAAAACTTCTAAAACACTACAGGGGGTAGAAATCATTTCACAAGCAGCACATGCATGAAAACAGAATCAAGCCATTAATATTAATTATATCATAGTCTAGAAATCTCAAATCACTGGTCCCGTTTTTCTTGGGGCTGCACAAATTACACATAAAACCAAAAAACCCTCTGTCTACTGAACTATACATAAAACATGCTTCTGCAATTTTCACATTGTACAGATAAATATTATGAATAAGCTACTGACTTTAAAGCCTGCAATCATTTCACTGGACCACAGATTCACAGAATGGTTTGGGTTGCAAGGCACCTTTAAAAGCCATCTAGTCCAGCCCCCCTGCAATAAGCAAGGGACACCTTCAACTAGATCAGGTTGCTCAGAGCCCCATCCAACCTGACCTGGGATGTTTCCAGGGATGGGGCATCTACCACCTCTCTGGGCAACCTGTGCCAGGGTTTCACCACCCTCACTGTGAAAAATTGCTTCCTTTGATCTAGTCTGAATCTACCCTCTTTAGCTGAAAACCATTATCCCTTGTCCTATAGCAACAGGCCCTGCTAAAAAGCCTGTCCCCATCTTTCTTAGAAGCCCCCTTGAAGTACTGGAAGGCTGAAATAAGGTCTCCCCAGAGCCTTCTCCACGCTGAACAACCCCAACTCTCTCAGCCTGTCCACATGGAGAGGTGTTCCATCCCCCAAAGCACAGGCCGTGGGGGGGTAGAAAAAGAAAAAAATTCAACCAGTAAATCACAGAATCACACAGAATCACAGAAACACTAGGTTGGAAAGGACCTTCAAGATCATCAAGTCCAACCATTAGTCCAGCGCCACCATGTCCCCTAGACCATGTCCTGAAGCGCCACATCCACACGTTTCTTGAACACTTCCAGAGATGGCGACTCCACCACCTCCCTGGGCAGCCTGTTCCAATGCCTGACCACCCTCTCAGTGAAGAAATTTTTCCTAATATCCAATCTAAACCTCCCCTGGCGCAACTTGAAGCCATTTCCTCTTGTCCTATCGCTAGTTACTTGGGAGAAGAGGCCAACACCCTCGTCACCACAACCCCCTTTCAGGTAGTTGTAGAGAGCGATAAGGTCTCCTCTCAGCCTCCTCTTCTCCAGACTAAACAACGCCAGTTCCCTCAGCCGCTCCTCATAAGACTTGTGCTCCAGACCCCTCACCAGCTTCGTTGCCCTTCTCTGGACACGCTCCAGCACCTCAACATCCTTCTTGTAGTGAGGGGCCCAAAACTGAACACAGGATTCAAACAGGAATCAAACAGGAATCAAACCCTGTTTTATGAGATCCCTAAAAATGCTGTTTGAAGAATTTAACTGATGGACAGCAACCTGCACATAGACAACTTAAACATGTAAAATGGTCAGCAAAAAAAGAAAAGCTAGCTCTGGGACCTAATGCCACCCAGAAGTTCCTTAGGGGTCTATTTAGTATCACCAAACCAATGAAAGCAGATCAGCATAAAACCAGCCTGCTCCCTACCACCTATAAAATAGCTCTAGAGGCATGTGTTGTACACCTCCATTGCAGAGAAAAATTAAATGACTGTTAGCAAGTCTCAAGAAGGGAAAAAAAAAAAGGGAGAAAAAAAGAAAAAAAAAGACCAAGGTAAAATTGTAAATTCTGTAGCATCTTGGCAAGATAACAATATTAGAGTTCAAATAAATTCATGAGATCCTATCTGAACTGAATGGGACAATTCACAGCTCCTAAAATACTGCTGCAGTTCTACTAGCAAGGGCATTGGCTTACACCACAGCTCCAGTTTCCAAGGTTATGTCTGCAACTGCTACGAATTATGTGCCTATTAAAAAGCATTTGTCAAAAGTGAATCCTTGAACGAGTTCAACAGCAAGAGAGAACTGATGACAGCATTGCCAAGGTATGGAGTAAGATTGGTTCACTTTCCTACCATTACACAGACTTGTGGGTTGAAGTGGAACTGCCAAGAAACGTACAAATTAATCTTGGGTTGGAAATCTTACACAGACTATTACACAATGCTGTTTATTATTCCCTAGAAAGAGTAACCTCAGAGGAGACTAGAAGATAAAGGTGGGGGAAAAGAAGATGGCCATCATTCTCTGCAGTCAGAAAGTTAAGTAATGCAGGAACCAGAGAAAACAGTGCTTGTTTCTATTACCCTGTGTGGGTTTTGCAAGTCACGCTTTTCAAGAGACCCAGAATACAGTCTCAGAAATAATTAGGTTTTCTTCACTGATGGCTGACAGGTCTTTTAGCTGTGTCTTTGCAAGTAACGATGCCTTAATTGTAGTTAATTAAAAAAAACACAACTAAATACCATGACACAGTTTGTATATTAAGAATATTTTTGCAGATTTGGAAAAAAAGCAGGTAAGAGGTTGATCTTCAGAAATCTTTATGAAATCTGTAAAAGCATATAAATAGAAACAGTCATTGCATGACCTACTAGCTAGTAGGAAAACTGCATAATGTCCTGTTTTCACTGCCTCTAGGCAAACTAAAAGCATCTTCTTCCTAGGAAAGATAACATATCCCAGAAGAGTACGACTCAAAAAATGTGCTGAAATCACTTTCCTTTTAATTTGAAGGAGAATATAAACAGAACTTGAATTTAGAGGCTTTCAATCCTTCGGAGGTCAGGAGGAAAACTAAACAGTTACAATGCATCTTCTAGAACCAATTATAAACCTAGAACAACTTCTTATCTAGCTAATGTCACACTGATTGCTAGAGGTTGTAAAATAAAAACGTAGAGCAACAAGGATTCCCTACTGATGCATGCAATTTGACATGCTGGCAACAGATGTGTCTGGAATGAAGTTTGGCTTACTTTTTATTATAAATTTCTATTTCTACTTACTACATGAGAGACTTTAGAAATTTCAGTGGTCTAGATTGAAAAGAACTGGCACCATTTCATTACGCAGACGCAATTATAACAAGACAATTCCTGACTGTTTATCTACTGACTACATCATACCAGTTACAGCAACTTGGATTTTACTGGGACCTGGAATACAACCCGTTGGTTTCCCATTTGCCAACAACTACTTAAAACAGCTACACAAAACCACACTGGATTTATCTGAGAATGCAGAGGTAAGAAGCTCTGCCCCAGGCCCTCCAAAAGGAAAATTCACCAGCCACAATTAATTTCTATGGACACTTTATTAACACTAGACTGGAGTAATCATGATCTAAACTGGAATGTTTTTCAAGCAAGGATACCATGACACCAGTGTCGGCAAAGGACTGCCAGCAAAGCTCTGGGGTTGCAAAAGCAATATTGCTCCCCCCATTTTATTTCAGGTTCTTCTACTTTTCTTCTGGAAAAAACCTGCTGTTAGAGTCAAGAGAATTCCCTCTCTTTAATCACTTTTAAATCAGATTGCAAAAAGCAAGGGAATGTGCAACAAAGGAATGATCATTGCAGATGCACCCAAGAAGAAGTTTAGTTTATCCCTGGAAGAGGAAAGATTTTAGGAACACGGGAAAGTTTTAGGAAAAATGAAGAATCAGAAGACTTTAACAAGGAGTTTCAGGCAATTCATCTAGGAAGCACAAACAAAAGTTTTTATTTAGAGGTGAACAGGGTGAGCATAGGCAATTTTTATACTCGGTACACATAAAATCTCTAATACGTTCTGCCATGTCACATATAAAATAAATCCACAATAGATCACCCTTTTCCCAATAGGTTAATCACACAAACAACAGAAGAATTTAATACCTATGACCCTTGAGGGACTTAATTTGCTGATGAAAGCTACGGGGATATGAAAAAAAGTCTTTGCTATGCCTGAAGCAATAAGTGAACAAATAAACAGGTTTGTTCAAAACAGTGAAAGTGTCCCATCCCTGCAACCAAACATCCCTCCACACAACAAAGCAAAATGTATGTGGGCAAAAGGGTAAATTATATTTACAACTGCCTCGGAAGAATTTGAGGAGTTATGTATTGCAGTCCTAAAGTAGAACTGAACTGTACTTCCACCTGCATTGTTCGAGCTATATGCCATGAGGTTAGAAAGCACATAATGAAGCTTCTGGATCCACAATGGTATCAATTACATCCAGCGTTTGTGGCAAGGTAATAAATGCAGCCACAGCGTCCCAGACTGGAACAAGGTATGTATTTATGAGATCTTTGGCTCCACTAAAACTGACTACTTACCAAGAAATCAAAATTACGCTGACACTTATCTGCTTTTATAATTCTTATTCCTTGGGAAACTTGCCATTTCAGTACTGATTTCAGACATCCATCCAATATTTATTTTAACAACATCATCAAAACAGCAAATAGCTAAAAAATATTAAGAACACTGGTACAAAAAGTTCCTGGGATTTCTTAACGACAGTTCCTCGTGAACCAACATTTGTTACAACACACCATGTGAATTTTCAGCACTCTAGTTTCCTTCAATATGCTTTACCAAATCTAAGAACTTAATAGTCATGCTTTAAATTTAACAAAAGTTAAGAAAGGGATCAAAATAATTTTAATTTCATATTGATTGTCCTCTCTGACTTCCTAATGGTGGCGGTCCATTCTTTTGCTTATGTTTTTGCTAGAGAAAACAAGTCCAGAGAAAAGAATCTACATAGGCTAATTCCTTTCCACTGAAAATAACCCAAGTTTTCTGACTGAACTACACAGATCAGCAATCACCATCACAACTAGCCTTAAAACATGTATGCCAAAACTATTTTAACATGCAAACCAGCATAGTTATTAAGAAGCGTATTATGACAGTAACAGTTGTAAAACATTTATCTGCTCTTGATACACAACATCAGTACATTCAGGTTTTGTAAACAATTAGGTGACATTCTACCTGTATTTTAAAAAAAAATTTTTACAAAAATAAAGGTGTGGCACTTACAGTAAATATTCGCCTGCCAGTCCGATCGAAAGTTACACAGTATACAGAAGATAAGTGTCCTAAAATTCGTTTGTGCATCTTCATATGTTGATAGACTGCAGTTGGAACAAGGCGTTCAAGTCTGTATTTTCCATTTAGTTTTCTTGAAAACAGGGTAAGGACTACCAAATGGAGAAAGAAAGAAAGAAAGAAGGAAAGAAGAGACAATGTTTATATTGGGTTCATAAAGCCAGGTTCATCCTGGGTTCCAGGACAGAAAGTTTATTTCAACACTGAACCACCTGCCATATGAACAGTTTACTACAGTAATTCACTCATTTTGCCCTAGTTAGGGAAAAATACATACAAAAGTAGCCTACGATACAGATGTGCAAAAAGGTAACAAACTGCAAGGAAGAGCATAAAGATGCAACGCAACTGTCAAAAAGTGCCTAAATGTATGCTGCTCACTTTCTAGGTAGTGTGAGAAATTCAGAAGGACTGAGGCAGCTTCCATGGAGGAGTAAACTATCTCAAATTTCTTCCACATAGCTAGTAACTGAAGATCTGCAAACATTCAAATCTTTTCCAAGGCAACCTGTTTTTTGAGGTCTACACAATCAAGCATTTATCCACCACTTGCAAGATAATTAATTAAAAAAAAAAAAACCATTGCTACCCACTACAGCTAAACAAATGAAAAAACACCACAGAAAAATTTACATATGAATTTCCCAAAACCTTACAGAAAATTCTTATTTTGATTAACAGAACCTTGTTCAAAGAATTGGGGATTTTTTTCAAAGTTTAAAAGCTAAAAAGTTTTTAGGAATCTACTGTAACAAAATGGAAATCTTCCATCAAGAACTTCATTAAAAAAAAACATAAAGCTCAGTGTTATTAATTTTAAACTGCTACTCATGCAATGATAAAGCAACAGAGTATAATGCTTATATGCATGGATACATAGACATTAGTCAAACAGCTCCCCATATCATCATTAGACCCAAGAATGGCAATGGTGATACGTTTTATATTCCACAGGAATTGTGGTAAGGCAGAATTGTGATATTCAGATCTCCAGCTTCTTAATACGCGAGAATTAAAACCTAAATGCCCAACAGCGTCCACAGCACTACACACACATGAAAAACAAGATCTGTCAGTGACAAGAGAGGTAGCTGATACTTTCATTACTACTCTGGTTAGCCATTCTTTATATGTGACCAAGGCTATGTCCGTACTAGTGAACTGAGCTGGACCAGTTCTGCGCACTGAATCACATTCACACTCTAGCATCAACTGTGGAACAGCTACGAATCTCTTGCATTGCTTCGTTTTGGCCCAGACCAACTAGACACTGGTTCATGAGGCAGCACAGGTCAAACTACATTAAATATGCAAACTGGATTGTAGCTACTCTATAAGGAGCAAAAGCACTTAGTGGTATGGACAACTGCCAAACCCATTGGCCTCAGGCCATTAAGAACACTTCAGTTCACTGCCTGAGTGATGTAGGCCACTATGTAGCCCAAGGATTCAAGGAAGTTCTCTAGTTCAAGATGCGTTGTGAAGAAGCAGGATCTTCAGCTGTGGAGTGAGGCATTTTTAGCCAATGCGCCACTACTGCCTTAAGCCTTAACTATATCCTCTTCACCCTCTCCCTACACAAGGAAAAGATGCATTTGCATTTGCTTTATGACAAAGCTTTTCCTTGCCAACAGTCTACTTTAGAACAGCACAAAACCAAGATTAGTTCAGTCACAAGATAAATCTAGTGTCAGATCATCCTACAGTTTTAAAAAAACACACAAAAAAGAACAAACCAACAAAAACACACATCCCCCCCCCCCAAAAAACAAACAAAAAGAACCCAAATAAACACTTACAGAATAAGGAAGGTCTTTGTCACAATAATAAAGTGATACTACAAAATAATCTCGACCTACTCAGAAGTTACATTTTGTTTGCCCTTAATGTAAGATGGAGATGGTTGTTGGAAATCAGCTTCTAGCAATACCTTCAAATGAAACCACAGCTCACAAAAAGGGAAGAAAGCCTAACATAGTATAATTTGCAAAGATGTTCTGCCCATAAATTGAAACTGTAAGACAACTTTTTAGGATAAAACAACCAATGACTTTATATAAGCATTTAATTTTTGATATACATCTGTGTTTATGATGACCTTTTTAAAGTACTCGAGATAAATTTCAAGGGTTTTCTGGTTGGGTTAGGTTTGATTTTTTTGTTTTGCTTCTGATAATTCTCGCCACTGTGAAGCAGTAACAGGCAACTTGCTACTAGTTCACATACCCCTGGGAAACTCAACAGGTGAAATGCCCCTTGTTCAGTAACAATCAACCTACCAGAGGAAGTAAGAGACAACACTGTGATATTGGAAACAAGAAAACTGGGATCTATCTCACTCTTTCGCATTGATCAAAACTTCAAACATACAAAAATCCCCAAAACTGGTTAAAAATAAAATTAAGTGAATTAAAAAGTGATTTAACATGGGGGGGGGGGGGGGGGGG